CCACCCACATGCGTCCTTCAGGATGCTTCTGTCGCCACGGACATCGCGCGCCCGACACGAACATTCATGCATCCTGACATCCTCGGCGCCGCGATCCCCATCTGACACTGCGACTACCGCCAATGACGTGCCTCTCAAGCCGGGGCCACCGTGTCCGAACCTGCCGTTGCGCCCTAGCCCCGCCCGCCGCTGCGCTCGTCGATCTCAACCCTATATGCTGGCCTCGCGCAGGCACGCGTGTTGCGCCCGTTAAAGCCACGCTCTCAATCGGAAAGCCAAACGCCGCATCTCGAGCAATCTCACCTTTTGTAATAGCCCATCACGTACCTCGTCGGAGCCTTGAGCGTACAAGGGAAGGAGGAATACCGAATGTGGGGTCGCCCTCCGAAAACATCGCAGCAAACGCCGTGGGTACAGGTATCCGGAGTAGACACTCACGCCATGTTGTCCAGAAATAGGTGAGGAACAGTTGGTGTGCTTGTTCGGCATGAACGCCGTACGTATCCGCGCCCGGGCATGCACCTACGCGACCGCGCAATGCGGCCTGGCGTCATGGAGATATTCTTCCAATAGCCTCATGTGAGTAGAACGGCATCGTCGAAGATAGAGCGAATCAGACCGTTCATCTTACTACAGTGAACACGTTGCGACCTAGTGGTACGTCATCCGGTGTGGCCGGTCACCATTCAAGTCTAGCTTGGAGGTCGGAGGCGAGGTTCGGAGGGTCGACGAACGTGCGGAGAACGTCCGTTAGCCATGGACCCGGATGCTATCTGGAGAGAAGGCCCAATGGTGTGGGGTTCAACCCTAGATGTTCAGTATTGATGATGTCGCTGCGCCGGTTTCTCTATTCTGCGTCCTCGATCTCGCTCGGGCCTGGTTACCGCCGTCCCGCATTACCGGATTGCCTGTCCGGGACATTCTATCGTACCGCGTCTTCTCAGCGCGGTGAGAAGAAACGACTCCGCTGGCGGATGCGCCCCGCGCACGAAGAGAGTCCGATTAGAAGGCAAAGCAAGCTTTTGAAGAGATGAGCACAGACGGTTGACGTGCGCCGGCCAGCGCTCCCTCGGACCGCTCTGCTCTTCCCCATTGAACCGGCAGGTGCTACCATACGCCGGGCGCGGGGCGCAACGTCACCCCACAGCCGCAATGCGCCGTAGGAGATGCCCACCCTCTTCTGTCGAGGTGACGTCCGCCGCGCGAGCTGGTGCGCTAGCGAATAAGGGGGGTGCGTACCCTCGTTTGAGAGGGCGGCTTCGCGCCCTGCCTTCGAATGCATATATGCTGCGGCTTCGAGAGGGGAGGGCGATGCACGCTGCCGATGTCGTCGCATGGTCCCGGCTCGTCGCAGCGCCCTCTATAGCTCGTCTCCCTCTTCCGGAGGCATGGTGTTATGTGGTGGACTGAGCTATCCCTGTCCCTATGAGGTATTCCTGTCAGTGGCCTATCAGCACGCACGTCGCATTCCAACAACCAACGAACCACCGATCCAGATACCTGTGCTACGTCAATACGTTTCGCACATCCACGCTCACGGCAACGGATGCCGTCACGCCTCATGGCCTTCCCAGAGAGTGTGATAGTGCCGTGAGGGCAAGCGACACGGCTGCGAGCTTCCTCGGCCTGGCAGCAGCAAGCGTCAAAACACTTACGACAGCGTCTGACGGCCCTGGCGCCTGCCCGCCGATTCGAATACGAAGCTCAGCATCGATGTCCGGATAAGGCCATCGGAGGAAACCATCCCAGCACATCTGCCAAACAGACTCGGATTTGCAAGCTCGCTTATTCCTCTCAGGTTTGCGGCTAGCGTGGTGCGCGTGCCAACGCCTTGGCTTGTCTGTGTCGTGCGAACGGGGCACTCGCCGTTCGCATCCAAACCGCGAGTGTCATGCGGCACTCGAGAAGAGAAGCTGTGATACTTTTTGAGGTCAACTATCGATGACGACGGGGAAAGGAAGCGAGAGAGACAGAGGCGCGTTCGTGCGATTAGCCGTGAAGGGAATGCTTGCCACACAGAGCTCGCGAGATGCCGATACTAAGGCGGACGAGGCACGCCCTACATACACATATATACGTACGTGCGACGTTAGCGTTGGCAGCTCAGGCGGCCAGCGTCCATGAATAATTGCACTTGCCTGCTATCGGGCTGTCAGTGGCGTATGTCAATTTCCGGGCTCTGCGGCAACGCCACGTTCGCAAACGCCTCAGACCGAACCGCTCGTGTTCCGTGTGCATGCTGAGGGGGCGGAGTGCCCTAGCGCCCGGTAATCAAAGGCCACGCCCGGAGGTGTCCGCGCGGCCGCAGGCGCAGGGGAGCTCGTACTTCGGAACCATACTCTCCGCGACGCGCGCGGAGTCGCGGACACACCCCTCCTGCGCCACGAGGGAGGGCACCCCGAGAGCCCGAGAGCCCGAAAGCGCAGTGCGAGTCCGACGTCCGGCGACGCGTGGTGCTCGCTCGCGCGCCGGGTGTCGCCCGACACATGTATCGTTGCCGGCACGGGGAGAGGACCGGGCTGGGTTCTCTCGCTCGCGGTCGGATGGACGGGGCCCAGCGGTCTGGCGGGAGCGTTCCGGGCAGCAGTGGGATCTGCAGCGGTGCAGGGTCGTCGCCGCGTTCGTGTTGCGATGCGGCCCAGGACGCAAATGGCCAAGCGCAGACGCGTGTGCGCGAGCTCGCACGCGCACCAAAGTGCGAGCTGTCATCGAGCCGTTCGATGATGACCTGGGTTCTGAGAATTGCCGTCTGGAGAAGTAGAAGGAGCACCCGCAACGACTCTGGGCAGGGCCGCGCGGACGCGCGACCGCGTTCGAGCGCATTCATCCGAAGGGCTATCATGGCTCGAGCAACGAAGCGCACTTACGTCCAGCATGCGCGGCCGTCGGGCGCGCGCAGCCATAAGAGGGCGAAATTGCCAAGGCTGCCCCTGAAGAGAAGTAGCGAGCGCACCCTCGCGGAACACTCGCGCGAGCTGGCCTGTGGGCAAGAACTTGCACGGGAACGGCACGATGCGCGATTGCACGATTGCACGGTGCGATACGACGTGCGGGCGTCCAACCGACCAGCCGTTCGCTGGGGATGCCGTACGTACGACCAGGCAACGTGCCAGAAGCGCGAGCGAAAGGTGCTGATTGGCATGCATGCACGCCACTCAGCCTACGCCCCGGTGCTCACGGCCCTGGGCATTCGGGTGCGAGCCGCTCGGAACACGTACAAGTGTATCGTCACATGTCCGTGAATGTACCCGTCATGGGGCGCATAGGAGGGCTCATGACGGGAGCTCGAGCGAGGTCTGTAGGGCTAGGATGGGTGAGAGATCGATGTTGTGTTCAGTCTTTACGGCCGCTGGACGCCGAGCGAATAATGAGAAGCAAAGCTAGCCGATGGGCGAGCTTGAGAAGCACCTGGGGCATGTCCCCGCGGCTACATCTTGGGGAGTGCGCGATGCTAGGCGCGCTGGAAGGCTCATCTCGTCCATCCGTCCACATCAGCCGCCCCTCAATGCACCCAGCGTCCAGAAGATCAGCATTTGGGCGCGAACACGATCGCCAGGGGTGCGCGGCAGAATCAAAACCACTGGCACGACAGGCGCGTTCCCCGCATCTGCCAACGCGAGCGATCCAGATATTGATATTCGCGCGCCGTCTTGCGCGCCCGGCCGCTGCTTCTGCGCGTGCTTGGCGTGCCCCAGGGAATCACAAGTGCGGGAAACGCGGGGACAGGTGGGGGTTCTTGTGTCCATCAGAGGGGATCTGTATGGGCCATCTGGGCGAGTGACCGGGCGCGGGGACGATGACGAGGGCGAGAGGCTTCTCGCGCGGATTACGGTGCAGGACGCAGAGTCAGACGGTGTAGATCCGAGTGGGAGTGGGAAGCTGGGGTGTGTCATGCGAGCGATATGAGCGAGAGAGACATCGATGTAGCTCACGATTAGCTAATTGGCAATGTCGCGGCAGGTTGCGGGACATGAGGCATGGTTTGTGTTGCGGTCGAGCTTTGGAGAGGCGCTTGACGGCAGGATGCGTGGCTGGCTGGCAGTATGGGAGGCCGTGTGTGCCGGAAACGTGTATTCGCTGTGGATGAGTACGGTTTGGGCACACGGCGTGTCGGCGCGATGTGCAGCTGGTGGCGTCACTGGTCAATGCACACGCAGCTATACTTGTGGTGGGTGGTGCCAGATCGAGCTGGGGGTTGACGCTGCATGAAGAGGAGGAGGCGCGCGACGCGCTGGGGAGAATTCCGAGAAGTAGCGGGTGGAGAAGGGACGGACCGGAGATGCGGGCAAGGCTGGGAAGGGGGGCAGAGGCAGGAGGGGATTATGGGACCAGGATCGCCTTATGAGTACCGTGGCAAGACCTGGCAAGGTTGGTGAATGGGGCCAGGGGGAGAGCGCGGACGCTTTATGCGTCTTACGTCTTTGGAAGCGCATGACGGGAGCGCTGCCGAGTGACAGCGATCGCGATCGGTGGCGGGTTCTGCGTCGCGGGGATGGGACGCGAGGGACGCGAGGGACGCGAGGGGGGATTCGTACCGCGCGCGCGGCAGGAGACGATGGGTTGGCGGACGAGGGGCGGAGTGGGCGCGGGGCGGGGGACGGAGTGGTGGGAGACGGGGTGGGATGCAGGAAAGGGCGATAAGGGTGAGATTAGAAGACGAAGATGGTTAGGCTACGATGGGGGGCAGATGGGAGTGTGTTTGCCTGTTGTGTGCGGTGGTCTACCGCTCGCCCTGCCTCGCTTGTCTTCGAATTCGCTGCGACTTGGCGAGTGCTACACGTGTGTCTTGCTCGCTACCCGCGACAGAGCACTTAAAGTATCCCCTCCCCGCGCTCCCCCGTCCTTTCCCCCTGCTCGCCCTCCTCCCCTTTCCATTCCACCGAGCTTTTCCCCGATCCTCCTGATCGTCCATCACCCCCTCCTGCCCCCTCCCACCTATCTTCCTCATCATTCACCTGCAGAGACGATCCTCGATCATCCCATCTCGCCCATCCCCTTCCATGAAGTCTCTCTCCCATCCCGCCAACATCCCTGGCCTCTTCCAGTTCCCCCCCTCCCTCGAGCCCGACCTTGCCCCCTTTGACCAACGCACACCTCACCCCCTCACCGCTCCCCGACGTCCACCCCCCTCGGCCAGCTCCTCCGCCTCCACGAGCGCTATGCGCCACGATCACAACCTCGCCTTCCCACCCCGCGAGATGCCATCATACGCCGTCTCCTCCGGCGATCACTACTCCCACCGTGCTGGTACGTACACCCGCTCCTTCTCTCTGCCCGAGTCTCCCGCAAATCCGGGGTCTGGACATCTCTCTAACCACCGCGACAGCCTTTCTCCAACCCACGCTCGATATGCACGCGTCCAGCTTCGCGTCATCATCGTTGACGCCCCCCTTCCCTCGCGGATACGTACACGCGGACAGGGCAACCGTGAGCATTCATTCTCGCTTCTCGCAACGTCTAGCGAGCCGATCCGCGCATCTTCTTTTCATTACATTAGGACGCGTACCACCCCCAGCATCACTGGAACTCCAGCCCTGCCCCGCACCCCGGTGCGCACGCGCTTCAACCCCACCCTCCCTTCGACAACGACGTCAAGATCGAGGACGGCGTTGACGAGCAGACCGAGATGTGGCACCCAGAAAGCTCGCAGATGGCTTACGGTGCGCAGCAGTGCTACTCCTACGAAGCCGTCGACGAGCAGATGCACGACTGCAAGGAGGAGTGCGCAGACGAGGGCTACTCTATGCAGTACCCCCAGCAGGTGTCTGATCATAGCCAGTCCTGGGAATCCACGGTATGTCCTAATGGGTCATTAGCAGCTCACGCATGTGCTCACTCGTCCGTACGTCCCGCTCTCTGCTGTATCTGTATCCTGCGCCAGATGGACGCCCCCCACACACAGCCGCCGTACCTCTCCATCGACATCCCCGACTACTCCATCCCATACGAAGACAACATGTTCGTCGAGTCGCCCATGTCCGCGCCCGAGATGCACACCTACCCCGAGGCGTCCATCCACAGAGCGCTCCCCGCGCTCACCGTCGCGACGCGCTCCTACACCCTCGAGGGCGCGATCACGCCCATCTCCCCCCAGCCCAAGCCCCGCGCGCTCACGTCCCCCGCTCCCCAGATGAAGCGCAGGACCGACTCGCCCCCGCCCATGGGCTTCCTCCGCCCTCCCACCCCGCCCCTCTCGCGCTCGTGCTCGTCCCCGTCCACCTCGCAGTCGTCCATAGCGTCGAGCTCGGGCTCGGGCTCGGGCTCCGCCGCGCAGCCCTCGCCCCCCACCGAACCTCCTCCCTGCCCCGCCCAGCAGCAGCAGCAGCAGCAACTCCTCCAGAAACGCCCCCGCGGCCGCCCGCGCAAGAACCCGGCCCCTGTGCGCGCGCCCTCGCCCCCGCCCGTCGTCGACTACCCGTTCCCGCAGTTCCCTGCGCCCCTCGCGGGCGTCCCCTCCGCGTCGGCGTCGACGTCGGCGATCCCCCCGCCCGCGCCGACGATGACGATCGCGGCGGGCCAGGCGATGTTCAAGCTCAACATGGCGCTTGGCGAGGGCGAGGGCGAGGGCAAGGAGCCCGAGAAGAAGAAGCCGATCATGGCGTGCCTCTTCTGCAGGGAGCGCAAGATCGCGTGCGGGCCGCCGCCGCCGGGGGGCCCGCAGCGCTGCAAGTGAGTGCCGCATCGTGTGTTTGGTTCGCGTGGTGTATGTGTATGCTGACAAGGGGGTGTGTGTGCGCGCGACAGCCAGTGCACGCGCCGCGGGCTCGTCTGCGAGTACCCGAAGGAGTCGCGGCGGGGCCAGCACAAGCGCGGGGCGCGCGCCGCGCGCGTCGAGGCGCTCGCGTCCGCGAGTGCGTCTGCGTCCGCCGCTGTCGCTACGTCGGCTTCGGCGTCCGCGAGCCCGACGTCGATCAAGCCCAAGCCCAAGCCGAAATCAAAGCCCAAGGCCGACGCGAAGGAGGTGGCCCAGGTGCCGTCCTCGCCGCTCACGCCCCTCCCCTCGCCCCTGCCGCAGTCTGCCGCCCTTCCCGCTAGTTGCGCTTCGTCCTCCACCTCCTTCGCGTCCTCCTCCGTCTCCTCCTTCGCCTCCCCCGGGACGCCCCCCGCTCCTCTGTCGGCCCCGGGCCCGGGGGAGCGCAAGAGCCGCGCGGACAAGGTCGCGGCGAAGGGCAAGGAGCGCTCGCGGTCGCGCTCGCTCGCGACGGCGGGCGCCGGGCCGTCCGCGGTGGACATGGCGGCGATGCGGCGCGTCGCGCAGAAGCGGGAGCAGCAGAAGAGGCGCGCTGCGGACGGCGCGGTGCCGAGTGGGAGTGGGAGCGGGCCTGCCGCGGGCGGAGAGGAGAGCGTCGGAGATAGGGGCGGAGGGGGCCGACTGGGACTGGGACTGGGACTGGGACTGGGACTGGGGGGAGGGGGCCAGGGAGGGCGGCAGGGCGTGGACGTGGATCTGAGGTTTGGGCACGCGCCTGCGGCGTATGTGGGGCACCAGATGGCGATGGTCGGGATGCAGGCGATGCGGTGAGGATGCGGCGAGGCTCGGTGTGCGCGGCGGCGCAGGCTGCTGTCGTGCTTATGGTTCCCAGGTGCGCTCGTGTCTGAAGTTTGCCCATCTTTGCTTTTCGTTTTCTCGATCGACTCGTCGCGCGTCGCTGCTTTCGGCTGTTCCTTTCCGCGGTGCGATGTATTGTACATGCTTTACCGTTTTCTATGCTCACGCTTTGTCTATTCTGTTTCGTCTCCTCGCTTTCGTCGTTGTCATACTCCACCGCCTTGAATGTGTCGCCTTCTCGGCGCAAGATGCTCACGTTGTCGCTCTGTTCTAGTGTACATGTTCATGTTCGTCGCATGCTTTTCGTCTCCGCCCGCCTCCATCCTCACGCCCCTTCCTCCATCTCTGTGTCGGTGTCGGTGTCGTCTGCACACAGCGTTATCTATCTCGCACCAAAGCGGATGTCTGGCTAAGTACATACCAATCATAACCTCTCCCATTGCTCCCCCACCATCGCAAGCAAATTCCTGCGCAACAAGGCCAGCATGTAACGGTCATGCTCCTTCTGGATAGGCTCGTACAGACTGGCGGACGGTGGCCATTCCACATCAGGATTGAGCGCCGGATACTCGACAACGTCGTGTTCACCCGCCCAAGTCGACGAGGTACGCGCGCGAATTCGCACGGGCGACGACGACGTTCGGCGCACGCACATCGCCGTGGACGAACGGCTTTGGCACGGCGACCTTCGCAGCTCGCATGTCGTATCTCGCCATCATCATCATACGCGCGATGTTTTCACCTTCGATGGCCTCCATGATGAACATGTGCAGGCCGGCCTCACTGCCATCTTCTACTACGCCACTCCAGTATATCTGCGGGGCGAGCGGTGGTCTGCGAGCAGCCGGTGCGGAGCGATACCGTAGCCGGGCGCAAACTTGATGTAAACGTACTTGCATAGTTCTCCTCTGACTGGTCTCTAGGCAAGCGGCCTGGCAAGCTTGCGCGCACAAATTCGTCGTATATTGAAGCTGGAGTCAGGCCCTTTAGTCGCTAGTTTCACTTTGCGCAGGTCGCGTAAGGCCTTGAGCGCATGTGCAAAAGCAGGCTCATGCAAAGCAGGACGTCGTGCCCTGCGCGTCGTAATCCTGAGCCAGAATACGCAAGAATGAGGTGGTTACATTGAGCTGTCGAGCCTGAGAGTTCCTTTGGGGGGCGCTGAAGGAGATGCGGCGCCACGCTCTCACGACAAGCGCGCTGAAACCAGCTGTAACGCCGCCCTCCCTCGCGCGTCCCATCTGACCCTAGGCCACATCCGCCCATGCGCTGATCAGCACTCACGATGAGAGGTACAATCTTTTCGCGAGCACGACATGTAGATGATGCGGTGAAGGCGATGTGCGCGGCGGCGCGGGCTGCATGTCGCGCAGAGGTGGAAGAGGGCTTCTGGGTCCAGGTGCGCTCGTGTCTGGAATTCGTCCGTCTCTGCTTCTGCTTTGCACCCTTTCGATCGACTGTCCCTGCAAGCCCGTCGCGCTATGTCTTGTCGCCTTTCGGTCATCGGCTATATACCTCCCGCTGTACGATGCACTGTACATGCCTGAACATCTTCTATGCTCGCGCTTTGCTGTTTCCCTCCTCGCTGTTGTTCGTGCAATCCTCCAACGCCTCAAATGTGTCACAAAACTGCTCGCGCTCTCGTCTTCGCCTGTACATAGCGTCGTCTATCCAGCCACAGCCCGGATGTCTGTCGCGTCAGTACATACCAATGGAAGTGTGCCCATAATCACAGATTCCATCCGTCATCCTTCCGCCTGCCTTGCCATGGACTAGCCAATAGGTGCACCGGTTGGAGATCCTCGCTTTGTTCCGTCATGTCTACGAACCCTGCCCTTCTATTCTGCTCATACCCGCACGATTCCATGCGATGCCTCTGGGTTCTCACAGTTGGATCTACAATCCTGCCGTCGTCCTCGCCGTCCATGCCATGGGGGTGAGCGCCGATTTTGAGCGTTCGAGCACACGCGAATGCTCACAGCTTTTGCGTGCTCTGGTTTCGACGCTTGCATCCGCTTGATTAACACTCCGCTCACCGCTCAGGTTTCGAATACCTACGTGGTTCTTCCGGGTATGCGGGAGGTATGCGGCCGTCGTGAGCTCGGGTCGTATTTCGAAACCGGTACGTCTGGCCAAGGGGTTACGGTCGCTTCTCCTGACAACTTGAACTCGCAGATCTTCCCTTCCTTGCACACAAGGAAGACCAAGGCCGTGTATTCCGCGCTAACATAGCAAAGGCCGACATGTTGAGACGCGACGCCCACCAACGCTGTGACAGATGGGCTTCCTCACCTCCGCCTTGTGAGGCCGCATGTTGGATGGGGTTCCGTAAGAGCGGCCCCTTCTAGCCGCGCCCATGTGTGCGCCCTGGTCTTGCTGTGCACGCCCATCGCCATCCTTTGGCTGTCGATAGGACGCCCGTGCAGTGGGATGACTTACCTCGCCCCGCACAACATCTTGAACTCAGACCTGGCTTCCTGTCCTATTCGTCTCTGTATTCCGACCCGATTCTGACCGCCCCTTCCTAACCCCGTGAGGACCGACCCGGTGACTTTGATGACTTCGACCTGGAACCAATACTTTCCGCCGAAGCCTGAGTGGTCGATAGACGACGTTCCGGATCAGTCTGGCAAGGTGTTTCTAGTGACCGGGGGAAATACTGGCCTGGGTGCGTCCACCGTCCATTGAGCGCGGTGCCTGGCTGTATCGAAGATGAAACCTTGCTCACTTTGCGGTTATCTGTCGGAAACTAGGGTTCGCAACAGCGAAGGTGAGGATCGCGAGCAATAAGAGCTCAGGTGACGACCGGTAGCCCCGCGGAGATGCTCACGTCTGGTCACTTGGCAGGTGCTGCTGGCGCGCAACGCCAGAGTGTATATCACTAGCCGGGATAGGGACAAGGGGAGGCGGGCAGTCGACGAGCTGAGGAAGATATCCGAGGCGATACGTGTCCTGCACCTTGACCTGTCGGACTTGTATTCGGTGCGAAGGGCGGCAGACGAGTTCATGAGGTGTGTCCGTTTGTGGCTTAGCGTTTGTGATACGTTGAGCAGGTTGAATGACCGCATGACGGCGTCAGCAAGGAACACCAGCTGCATGTCCTCATCAACAACGCGTAAGCTCTCGCCGTAGCTCTAGGAACCAAAGCTAAACTCACGGTCGTTTAGCGGGATCATGAGCTCGCCAATAGTGTTGCTCACGAGACAGAGATACGACCTTCAGTTTGGGGTCAACGTTCTCGGTCATTTCTATCTCACGCAACTGCTGCTGCCGGTGCTGCTCGCTACCGCTAGAGCGACGGGACAGAAGGTCCGCGTGATTAACTACTCTTCCTTATTTGGTCCGGATGCCCGTATAGACTACACAACGCTCATGGATGGCCCCGTACGGAGAAAATGCTCGCCTGCACAGCTCTATAGGCAATCCAAGCTGGTGGGTGATACTTACCTGCATCTCCTTGTTGCGGCTGGTTTCGTATGTGTTGACGTGCATGCAAATGAATGAATCTGACAGGCCAACCTGCTCTTCGCACTCGGGCTTGCAGAGCAATATGGCGAGCAGGGAATCGTCTCGAGTGCAATCAACCCGGGGAATGTCCATACAGGCCTCTCGCGACACACGGGAGCTGTTACTGCATCAATATGGGTGTGTGCACAGAGTTATTCACTGTCGACTACAGATTTAAGGAGAAGTAATGATTTACTCTCTTCTTTGTAGGACATGTTCTCGCACAGTGTTTCGAAAGGCATACTGACGCCGTTATTCGCCGCGACCTCTCCCAAAGCAGATCTGCTTAACGGTAAAGTGAGTAATGTCGTTCCTACGTTGACAAGTTCATCGTATTGAATTTTGTGTCATAAACAGCTCCTCATTCCATGGGCGCGACTAGGACAGGTCCCGGCGAGCGTCCTTGAGCGTTGCGCTCAGGAGAATCTCTGGGATTGGCTCGAAGCCCAGACCGACTGCTTTGAGCGAATGAACCACGCCAAGTCGGACTCGACTGTGTTCCTCGAACATGGCATTGACAACGTCTCTGTAGTTTCCGTTCATTCCAAAGTGGCTGAGAACGAGGCCTTGTTAATCTGACTGACCGTGACGGACAGTTTAGCATGCGTTGATTGTATAAGACCTGGTACAATGTCTCGAGTGCGAGTTATGGTCGGGTATATAACAATGGTTCAGAAGACCTCTGGGGTCCTGCTATGGCCGGAACAACCCAGATAATGATACATCAAGAAGGACGTGTTGCACAGAGCCCCAGAGCACGTATCAGAGCACAAGAACAGAAAAAAATGTATGTCAAACGAGACAAGCAACGAGCGTCGAGACACTTCCCTTCGGGCAGTGTCCATCAGCACCACACCACCCCCTAGACAGTGTCAAACCCGCCCGTAGACAGACTCGGCGGCAGCGCGTCCGTCCCGTTCCCCCCACAAGTCACGTTGATGTCGTCCGTGAGCGTCAGCTCGACCGTCGACCCCTTCTGGAACACGTCCCAGTCCAGGAAGCAGTTGCTCTTCGCGGGCACGCCGTCGATCGTCACGTTCTGCACGAACACCGTGCCGCCCGTGCCGTTCGCGGGGTTCCCGACGAAGTTTGTCGCCTTGATGGTCGTGGTCGTGTTGAAGACGGGGTTGAAGAACGAGATGGAGGGGAAGTACGGGGACGAGAGGAGGTACTGGCGCGTCGCGGGCACGGGGTAGAGGCCGGCGAGGTAGGAGACGACGTAGGAGCCCATCGCGCCCGAGTCGTCGTTTCCTGGCAGCCCGTTCGTCGCGGTGCTGAAGAATTGGGAGATCACTTGGCGCGAGGTCTGCGTGGAGCGGCCGGGGGCGTTCGCGTAGTGGTACATGAACGGGATCTGCTGCGAAGGCTCGTCGGTGGAGTCGAAGTAGCTCTGCGGACGCGCGGTTGGGTCAACAATAGAAAGGAGATGCAGGGATGCGTGCTTACGTTGTTGAAGATGAAGTCAAGGCGGTGTATGAAGTTGTCGTTCCCCCCCTGCAGCTCAATCAACTTCGCAGTATCCTGCGGCGCGAATTGGGAGTACTGCAAGGCCACGACAGTCAGCTCCCCAGCCCTGCACACACACCCCAAGCCCAAGGCACATACCACGATCGGCGACGACTCGTAAAACCCGTCCGTGTTCGTATTGAACAAGAAGCAGTTCGACCCCGTCGGGTCGTGCACGCTGCAATGCCTCGGGTCCGTGCTCCCGAAGCTCCCGTTCTGGAACCGCGGCTGCACGAAGCCCACGATCTGCGCGTCGTCCACGCCCGGCACGGTCACGTTCGGGTCCCAGTAGTTGACGAAGTTGCCCGCGCGCGCGGCGTACTTCCGCGCGTCGTCGTTCTTGTCGAGCAGCTTGGCGACCTGCGAGATCGCGAAGTCGCCGAACGCGTACTCGAGCCCGCGCGACACCTGCTTCGTGTTCGCGCCCCCGGGCTCGATCAGGTCCTGCGGGATGTAGCCCGTCGACTTCCACACGTTCGCCTGGCGGCCCTGCAGGTTCCAGTCCGGCGGCTGGTCCTCGGCGTCCGCGAGGAGCGCCTGGTAGAGCGCGTCGGCGCTGACGTTGAGGTCCGCCGCGTGCTCGGCGTACTTGACGAAGAACTCGCCGAGGATGGGGTCGCCGTCTGTCGTGCAATACGAGGTCAGGGCGCGGTCGCGAGGGAGCAGATCTACGAGACAGAGACGCACTGCTGCCGCCCTGGATCCACTGCTGCGCGGTGGCCCCGCGGCACTCCGGGAGCCAGCCCTCGTGCTGCTGGATGTTGATCATGCCGCGGATGATGCGCGCGAACTCCTCCGGGTCGTGCAGGGACATGATCGGGTACAGCGTGCGGAACGTGTCCCACTGTAGTGCGTCCGGAGCCCGTCGTCAGCCGCGCGCATACAAATACAAGGAGCGAGCGCGCGACGCACGTTGCAGTAGAACGAGTCGTAGTACGGCTCCGTCGAGTTCCACAGCGGGTTCTCGCCCGAGTCTGTACGCGCATAGCAATCGTGTCGTCAGCGCCCCCGTCCTTCGCGACAAGGCAAACGGAGGAAGCAAGAACACGCACAGTCCGCAGGCGAGATGTGCGTCCGGTACAGCGACGTGTAGAACAGCGTGAGAGTGTCGCTGTCCACGCCGTCCGTCTCCACCTGCACCCTGCCCAGCAGCTCGTTCCACGCCTCGCGCGTCGCCCCGCGCACGCCCTCGAAGTCGAAGTCCGGGATCTCCGCCTCCGCGTTCGCGCACGCCTGGTCCGTCGAGATGAAGCTCATCCCCGCGCGCACGTATATCCCCGTCTCGCCCCCGCTCCCCGCGCCGTTCGTGCCGAAGCCGAGCAGCGCCCCGAGCTCGGAGCGGTACCCGGTGTACTCCTGCCCGCCGTCGACCATGCCGCGGATGGGCGAGTTCCCGAGGTAGGTGCCGAACTCGACGGGCGCTCCGAGGTCGAAGCCGACGCCCTTGAAGTCCATGCAGGTGTACACGCGGTAGATGCCGGGCCCGAAGGAGGCGGCGTACGTCGAGCCTGCGGTGACGCGCGCGGTGGTCGGGTCGATGTGGACGATGGGGAGCGTGTTGGACTGCTGGCCGTCGTTGGTGACGTCGACGACGAGGCGGGGGGTGTTCGTGTTGGCGGGGAAGGTGTACCTGCCGGCGCGAAGGGAGGTTAGTGCATTGGCGGGCGGGGCGGAGGACAAGCGGGGCGAGGAGAGATGCGCACCTATGGAGAGCCGTGCGCTTGGTAGCGGTCAGCTCGACGCGGATTCCCGTGCTCTAATCACCGCGCACACGTTCAGTTTCGCGGTCAGAGTTCCCGCCGAGGCCTCACGAACCCCAAAAGAAAGACACGCACGAGATTAGAGGCAAAGTACCCTGGCTCCGCGACGTCGTCGGGCGATCCTGCGGGCACACGTGTATTTCAGCACGGCCCCGCGGCCACGCAGCTCGGAAACGACACGCACCGTCGGCGAGGAGGTTGCGCTTCACCTTGCGCGAGTTGATGTCGCACGGGCACACCTCGAAGCGGTCGTCCGCGCCCTCGCCGCACGAGGCGAACGGCCACACCTTGAACACCGAGAGCGGGACGGACTGCAGGTCGGATGAAAACACGCCAGCGGGCGCACGCTCATGGTCAGCGCACGCAAGCAGGCGGATCGGGGGAAGGGGAAGGGAAAGCGGAAGAAGGGAGACGTACGCCGCCGGTCCCGTCGTCGTGCAGCTGCGAGAAGCCCGTGGCGGAGAAGGCCGGGTTCGCGTCGTACCCTGCGTGCTGTCCGTGCGCGAGCGGGCGGTCAGTCCCCCCGTTTGCAACGATAGCGATCAATGGCTAATAGTGATGTCTCCTACTGACGTTGTCGCCCGAGTCGGTGTCCATCCCGACCTTCACCATCCCGTGCGGGAGCGTAACGCCTACATCCCCGCACCCCGCACCCCGCACCCCAGCCGGTCAGAACCCGCACGCAGATATATAGCACCCCAAGGGCGTGCACGCACCTGGGAACGCGTGCCCGCTGCTCGTCGTGCCGATGAACAAGTCCACGACGCTCGCGGGGTCCGGCACGGGCACGTCCGCGCGCCGCCCGAACCAGTTCTTCGCGCTCCGCGCCGCGTCCTCCTCGACGTGCATCTGGCTTTGGTGCGCGTGGCGCGCGTGTGGGTGTGTGTGGGCAGAGTGCGCGCACACGAGCGTCGCGAGGCCCGCGAGGGCGACGAGCACGCGTACGGGGGCCGAGCGGGTCAGCATCTTCGAATTCGCCGCAGTGCCAGTAAGGAGTGTGCGAGGGTCCGACGGTGAGGGGCCTCTCTGTGTCGCTCTCCTCCGTGCCCCGCCCCGGCTGCTTCTTATACGGGCTCGGGTACGGTTGCGGGCTCGCTCGCGGCATCTTCTCAGCGCGGGCTCGGACGCATATGTAGGTAGAGATGGAAGCGGAAGCGAGCATAATTCGGTGATGCGGGTTTCCAGCGCCCGTGGGTGATTCACGAATCATGATCGCACGTAGGAGCGCACGCGTGCCGCCGGCGGGCAGCGCGGCGAGCCTGGAGAGAAGAGGAAGACGGGGATCAGGCGACGGGGGGGCTGGGGCTGCTGATCGCGCATCTGTCGCCGACGGCCTATTTTCGCAGGACGGTGCGCGTGGTCGCGCGCCAGGTGATCCTCCTCTCGCTTCGGAGCGCGATGACACCCATCCTAGTACGTTCTGCTCTTCGAGGGCAGGTAAGTAGTACTGGGCAGGCGCGGTGTTTGAGCGGTAGGATGGGTGTCGAAGTGGCCCAGAAGGCGGTCACGACGTCGACGTCAACATGGACGGTCTCACAGAAAGGGCTGTCGGCGGTGGGGCGTCGCGGAGAGAGACGCGGGTGGACGACGTTCTGCGGACGTACAATGGACCGCGCGAGGGTGCTCGTTACGGTACGCTCACTCCAGTCGGCGTAATGAAAGAACAAGAGCACACCCGGTTTGGAGGTCTGGAGCACAGATTGGGCACGAAGGTGAGGTCAAGAGGAAGAGCGGAAGCGGCAGGACGGGGGTCGGTCGGGAGATCAGAAGGAAAAGAAGCTGTATGGGGCATGCGTAAACGACGTCGGGGGGCGCCGCCTGACTCGCGCGACGGCCGCTCGTGACTTGGGATATGCTACGAGAGGCTGCTTCGACCAGGGGCAAGTACGACGTACGTCGGTCATGCTCGCGAGGAAGAGCAGGGGCCTGAAGAGGGCACGAGAGGGCCTTCTGATGCCCCGGACTTGACGCGCGCCGATGGGAGCGCCAAAAAGGTGCTTCGCTATCAGTGAGGAGAGCAGTTAACTCTGCGAGCTCTGCGAGCTGCGGAGTGGGAGCCTTGTGGGGATCAACAGGAGGCAATGACTGTTGGGGCATCATACAAAGCATACCTTCTCTTGATGGCAACCCAGTAGCCCAAGGGCCGCACCGCACTTACCAGACAACGAGACTTCGATTAATCGCAGACAGCAGCCCGGCGGGACACGATCAAGTCCACAGGCGGCAGCAGCAGCAGCAGCAGCAGCAGAGAAAGACGAGAGTGCAAGCCAGCTCATCAAGCGCCCAAACAACGCGTGACGTCACCGCCACCTGATCTGCGTCACTCACTTTCCATCAGTCACCCGGCTGCATGCGATGAGGCGGAAACGCTTTTATTCGGTCACCATAAGCTACCGCGGTCCTTGAGTACAAGCACCCCGCGGCATACTCAGAAGATGACCGCCCTGAGATACCCCGGCCAGGCCATTTGCTTGATTGTTCGAGACGTCCCTAGTATGCCAAACGATTCAACATCTCAAGCGTCAGTTGAAACCTCTGCGGTATCCCTGACCTCTCTCATTACCCGCTGAAACCCCGCTATTGCCGACCAATCCTTCCGGTAAGTCCTTGGAACCTTCTATATCATATAGGGGCCCATAAGCCTTCTACTTCTTCTTGCCTCAGGTCCTTCTCGCCTTTCGCCAGCACGGTCTTTCTTCTGTCCATATCCAAGCGTTCTAGACTCGCTCACCAGGCGGCATTCTGCGCTTGAGTGAGGTTCTCGCCCCGTTTTCTAATCACTTTCTCGCATTGTAGCTTCCAAACGAGACGTCCCGATTCCGACCGCAATATAGTCCATAAGGCGTCCATAGATTCCCTTCTTTGCAGCGCCGATGTCCGTCTCGAGAATAGCGCGTCCCGCGCCCAGGGCTGTTCCCAGTCCGCCTCCTTCCAAGGGACCCCCTTCTTTGCCCATACGTCTCCGAGCTCACCCCAGACGTCTGCCTGGCCGCCTGCTTCGCTTCTGAACATGCTCTGATTCATGGAGAACGTTACGATTTCACGCAACTGGCCACGTAGCAGGCTGCGTAACCACGTATCACGCAGTAGATTGATGGCGGAGCTCGCTAAGCTCTGTGTGTATGCAGTCACGCAGTCATGTAACTGCGCACCAATGGTAAGTTGTAACTGGGGCGCCCTTCAGCAGGAGTTCGGCGAAGGGCAAGGCTCAAGTCTGTACATCCCGCAAAGCCCTTGAGTAGACTCGTTTTGCCCGCATCGATAACTGGATGGATAGTAGAGAAAATTTGGATCATAGTCGATCTACATTGCGCAAGGAACGGACTTTGTCGTAGGGGCCACTGAGAACTTAGAACAGGATACTCGGCGTCGCTTACCCGACTCCGCGATTACACGACTGCACGCTTGTGTTGTAACTGCGAAAGCGAACGCGCGACTGCGTGCATGCATGCATGGCTACGTAGCCAGTCGCGTGCAATCGTCAACTCTCTGGATTCATGCGTCCGTCGTTCTCGCACACACCGCACATGGCCCTGAAGGCCAGCCTACAGTTGCAAGCGTACTCGAACAAAAAAAACTCATACAATACAGCAGCGTCAGCCGCGAGATACTACCCCCGCCTCGTTCAGTCGTTCACAACGTGTACCTGAAGTCGGGCGCGCGGTCCCCCAGCCTCCGCAGCTCCTCCGGCGACAGCTTCACCCCACTCTCCTCCGCCGCCGTCAGCGCCGAGTCGCGCTGCGCGTTGATGCGCATGTACGATATCACGACAATCGGGAGCGCGACGAACCCGATCCCGACGAACATCAGCTCGATCCCGTCTGTCCCCATGCGCGCGCACGCGGTCAGCCGAACGGCGCACGAAGGAGGAGGGAGAGGCACGCACGTCCCAGTACGTATCGCGGCGCGTCCTGCGTGCGGTAGATGTTGCTCGCGATCGCGCCCCCAAAGTTGCCGATCCCGATCTGCAGCGCCATCCCCACCCCGCGCTTGTAGTGCCCCGCGAGGTTGTTCCCGAGCCTGCGCCGTCCGTTCCCCCAATTTCAATCAGCGTCACGATCAGGACGCCTGTGTGCATGTGCGGGGTATGAGGGAAGGGGGGGGGGGCGGACGTACCATGCGACGACCCCGGGGAAGCCGGCGTACGCGCCCGCGACGATGAGGAACGTGCCAAAGTACTTCGGCCCGATGCTCACGTCCGCGATGTTGATTGCGAAGCCGACGAGGCAGAACACGAGCCCCGCGAGCACGAACGGCCACCGCTTCTTGATCTTGTCCGACCAGATCGCCCAGCAGAGCAGCGTCAGCGCTGTTCGGCGTCGCACGTTGTCGGCAGTCGCGGGTCAGCGTTCGGGCAGGTAACTCGAGCGAATGGATGTGGGGCACGTACTGGCGAAGACGTAGGGCGGGACGGTGAGCAGCTGGGAGATCGGGGTGCTGAAGCCGAAGCTTTCGGGAGGCCGAAGTCAGTCGTTGGCACCGAGTCCGATCATGGCTTCATTCAGTGGACGTACCCGTTGATGATTGACCTACGCATTCAACCCCGTAAGTCAGACACGAAGGTGAAGGGCAGCGCATCGAGTGCACTTACGGCAAAAACAACGAAATGCCGTAGACTTCCGACAGGAAAGTCAAAATTAGACCACGCGCGCACGCACAAGTGGCGAGACGGCGGACTCACGCGGGGTGATGATGGACATGTACACGAGGATGTGCATCCACACCTGCCAGTCGAGCAGGCACTCCCACAGGTGCCGCCACTCAAAGTGCTCCTCCTCCCCAACGGACGAGTTGTCGTACTCTGGCAGTCGACCCCACATCAACACAGCACGAGTAACAAATCACAAAGAACGAAATCACTGCAACGTACTCTTCCGGTGGACGACCCACGCGCGCTCCTCGGGCGTCAAGAACTCCGCCGTGTGTGGGAAGTCGACCATGACTGTCCGTCCGATGTCACCATCTTCTCCCCCAGTGAAGTGAAGGCACGCGCGCACGCACCAAAGAACGAGATGAAGCCGACGACGACGGTCGCGAGCCCCTCGATGATGAAGATCCACGACCAGCCGAGCATGCCCGCCGTGCCGGACATGAACGAGATCCCGAACGCGAGCAGGCCCGAGAACGCGCCCGCGAGCGTCGCGCCCCCGAAGAACACGCCGACGCGGTACTGCAGCATGTGGCGCGGGTACCAGAGCGACAGGCTGTGTGCAGACGCGGGCGCATCAGCGTCGTGCGGACAATGCAGCAGTATGTGGGGGTGGCTGACTAGTAGACGACCCCGGGGAAGAGCCCGGCTTCGGCGACGCCGAGGCAGATGCGCGTGCCGACGAGCTGGGGGTAGCTGCATAGCGCGGAGGGAGGGAGGGGGCAAGGATCAGTCATCGACATGTCAGATCGAGGGACGGGTGGCGTTATACTTTTTCACGAGGCCCATGAGCGTCCTGCAGCAGGAGGAGATTAGCGGTCGTTACGCAGATAGAAGGGCGTACGGGTGAGGAAAAGGGGCGTACATGATCATGCCCCAGACGAGCGTGATACCGGGCAGCCATTTCGACGGGCGGAACTTCTTGAGGACGAGGTTGGCTGGACATTCGAAGAGGCAGTATGGCTAGATGCGGACGAATGCATGAGGTTTTGCGAGGACAATAGGAACCGTGCGGGCGTACAACAAAGTACATCGTCTATAGACGTATTGAGTTCAATACCTTGATTTCTACCAGCTTACAGGAAGTGCTCACCAGCGCGATATTGTACTTGTTACCCGTCAAGTCCAGCTGCGTCGTGAGCCCCTGCAGCTTCGCGTTTCCTGGAAGCGGATCATGCATCAGTCTCCCTCTGCTCCCCCTCCTCTCTTCTTCCGTTGAGCAGCCTTGGGCAACAGGTGCACTCACCAATATTCCCTCGGTCCAGGAACGAGCACAGATACATCAACGTCAGGATGGGCATAAGCCGCATGTCGATCTTCCTCCACAGCCTCTTCTCCTCCTCGGCACTCAGCGTCGGGGGCGGCGGCAGGCGGTCGTCCCCACCGTACGCCAGCTCCTTGCGTGACTTGACCGAATTCTCCTCCACCGCGGACTCCGATGGGACCTTCTCGATGCTCGCCTTCTCTGACATTGCGCTACCGTGATGCTGTCCGATGAGGCTCGTTAGTGCGCTGTCGTCTCAGATCGAACGTTGCTTCGTGCAGTTCTTTCGATACGCGGAAATTGAACGGGTGTCCGCGGGAGTGCGGGGGGTTGGTGGGTGGGCGCGGGCGAACGAGTGAGCGAACGCGCGCGTACGTATTCAATCGAGAGTCCCGCGGGGTCTTATAGTTATAGCCTCTCCATGTCCACTTCCGGGACGCATCCGCCGCCCCGGTCCCGACCATGATTACACGCACCCTGGACAGCGACAGGAAGGAGCCGTTGGGGGCACACGCTCACGCTAATCATGTCGACGCCCCAAAAGAGCGAAAACGCGGAGCGGGAGGGAAGAGCCGGGCGAGCGTGTCGTGCTCGCTATCAGGCACTGTCCCTGCGGTGTTGAAAGCTTCTCGAGTAGGTAGCGCGGAAGGATGCGCGATTGGGATCCGTGTTCTCATGTGTGATGTGGGAGGCCAGTGCGCTCGTTCACAGGGTGTGGCAAATATGTCTCCCGGGTGGCGAGGGACAAATATCTGGAGATCTCTGGGCTAGTGCGGAGTATGTGCCGAGATGTTGGCACAGCTGGTGCGGGGAACTGTGGGGAAGCGAGCGCGCGGGAGATAGGTAAGAGCGTCCGGGGCAGCAAGTAGGATTGCTGCAGGCCGCCGCAGAGTCTAAGCGGGTCTTAGCTGGTATCTTGTGATCGCCGATAGAGGAATTGGCGTGTCTGGGAGAGATGGGGAGACGTCAGCTGTGGATGTGTAGATGGACGCATGACGCCTGAGGCGTACCTGATACGGCCTAGCCTATAGGGCGTACTGATACTTACGGGGATAGACGAGAGTGCACAGAGGCGCGTGAGAGATTGCGCTGCGCTGCGCAGAGTGTCGAAAGCCGAAAACAACTCAAAATGAACGCTTGAATGACACCTGACATTCAGCGGTGTGGTGTTGCCGGCATTCGCTGTTGGATCTGCTAGGGGGTTTACGCCAGAGATGCGTAGATAGTTGACCAGTGAGAAGAGGCAAAGAGCGTTCTAACAGATACTCACGATACTCTCGCGGGCCCGTTTCGCCGGCTCGCGACGGCGTCGGAGAAGATTAACAGTCAGGAAGGGGGGAGACGGAAGTGGGGATGTACAAAGAAACGCCTCAATGCGAGGCTGACACGAATTCGTCAGAACGAAGGTGTAACATAACCGACCAGAGTTGTGAAAGCAAAAGCGAACGTGGTCGCATCCTCATGGCTTGTAGTGCTAGGCATTCCCCGGCACCTTCCGAGCAGAACAGCAATCTTCATGCTACGGTACCGTCTTCCACACCGGACTCCAGAACTGAGCTACATACTTATGTCGTCTCCTTCCAAGTTCGCTTCCTGATGTTCCAGGCTATTGTGGGGCAAGCTGGTAGCGCCGATCTGACTGTCTGGAGACTGAGTACAGGAGTTTGAGTCAGTCTATGTAGAAGGGAGCAGACTGTGCTGCAAACCAAACTTTCATCAAGTACTACCAAGACTCACTCGCTTCACTACGCTTCAGAGAATCGACAGGTACGGGCTAAGGAAATTATATAGAAATGTATGCGCCTGGTGGCAGCGTCTCTTCTTCGATGGGTTGCAACGAGTTGAGTGCTCGGATGGAGAGCGGGCGGGGGTGACCGGACAATATTTGGCGCCCGGGTTGACCCGGCGGCTGAAAGCTGGCTTGCCGCTGGCAGACTCTCGTCTAAACCATGAGTGGAATCCTGATGGTTGTGATGAGGATGAGGTGCTTCATCGATGTCATAACATCCTACGACAGCTATATCATGGAACCTATGCTCTAGTCAGCATACCTATGCATACCTTCAGTCCTCCAGGCTCCGGACTTTCTCTCAAGGCAAACCCCGACGTGCGTGGGAAACTTCCTTGTCGGGCGGATTATGGCGAACGTCAGGGTGAAAGGGACGTCGGGGAGTATATAGGCATAGCATCCGCTCGACGTTGGTGGGGATGATTTGACCCTCTCTTCTGCACAACTCGACGACTCTATTCGATTGGTTCTGCAGCAGTAGAGTCACTCAGTCTGACATATCTGTCGCCGACTGTCGATCGGGTCTACACGAAGCTGCGACGGCGGTGCCGCAACTGCAGCATCAACCAGTCATCTCTCCCCCGGCCAGTTCTCGGACTCCTGACTTGGGACCGGGCTCCTCAAGTGCGATCCACGTTCGTCATACTCCGGTGCCACTGTACGTTATGCGCACGGTCTTCTGGACCACACGAGGCTGACTTATCGCCAAATCGGTGGCACCTCACGTCCGCTCTTGGTAGCCTCGCACGTACAGCAGTCTGCCGCCAGACATCAAGCTTCCTTGTGCCGCAGGTAGATTGCTTCTTTGTCTCTCCTTGATACGTTGTGACGCATTTGACGACGCTGAAACGGACATCATCCCGCCCGGATCGGAAAGAGGCCACTGCATTCTGCCTGATTTCGTAGTCGCTGCGGTGCTTTCCGAAGCACAAACGCCTTAGTACGTGAGATACGCCCCCTCCACATCTGCTGCATGTCCCGGCACGAGGCTCATATATCATCGTCCTAGGATTCCTCATAAGAGGCCCCCCGGCTGCCTCGACTGTGAAAGACTCGAAGTCCATCACGGCCGCCTTGTCGCCGCCCGTACACCCGTCGCCGAGACGCCACGCCACTCTGTCTCCGCACCCGTCACTTGTACGTGTACGTGTTCAAGACACTGCTAAGACCCCACCCGAACAAGCCAAAATGAGGGGCAGACACCGGAGCCACCGTCTCATGCATGGTAAGTCATGGAGCCTTTCAGCTAGCTCTTCTCCCCATGCCCCGTAGCCGTCCCAGCCGGGCAACCAGTGCCCGTTCCTCCACACTTCATTAACCTGCTCGGTATGCCAGTTGGCGTCGGCGATGAGACGACCCCTGGCTTCGCGATGCCCGCCCAGGCAGGAGAGATGGTCGAGTTCGACCTGAGCAAGGAGTCTATCGAGCCGGTCGAGGACGTCGTGCCCCAGGGCCCCCCAGGAAGTGTGCTTGAGATCAAGTACCTGCACGAGATCCACGACGTCTTCAAGAACCAATGGACGATCCGCCCAGCGCCAGCACAGACGGAGGACGGGCAAGGTGGTAGCAGGAACGATGCGCAGAAGTACAACGTGTACGCGTTCGCGGTGATCCGCAAGTTCAACCACAGCCAGGACGGGAAGACGAACACGTTCAACGTCACGACGGTGCTCCAGATCAACTCCCCCGAGCTGATCAAGGTCGGCCAAGATGTCATCGGGCACGTGCAGGGCATCTCCTGGACAGCTAAGCCGCTCCGAGTGCGTTCGCTTCTTCCTCCTGTCGTGTTCCGTTCGCGTTCTGCCGCTTGCAAGCCCAAAGGCTAAAACTCTATCTCACTCCCAGATTGATCCGAATACCCTCCTCGCATGGTTCCCGGAGCTGCAAGCCTTCGCCGACGACCTCACGGGCAAAGTGGCGAACGAACCCGAGGACTCCCCGCTCCGCACCACCCACCAGCACCTCTCGCATCTCCTCGGCTATCTCAAGGACACGTACGGCAGCACGCTCGACAACCTCTCCTCCCTCCTCAAGCACGACGAGATCACGTTCGACCTCCTCTGGTCGCTCTTCGTCCCCGGCAAGACCACGCTCTACACGCTCTGTCCGATCACGTCCGAGCCGCGGTGCGTGCGCCTCGTTCACTCAGAGCTCTGCCAGAAAGCGGACAACCAGGCGCCCGTGTCCGCGGCATACGACCCAACGGGGCTGCTCACGTCTAAGCACTCTCAGGAGCAGCAGATGCAGTACTTCTGGCGCCTCGTCGTCGAGTACGTCGAGGTCGACATTGGGGCGCCCGCGGACAACCTGGGCGAGCTCGGCACGGGCGCGAACGCGCGGGCGGGCCAGAAGACGAGCTTTGGGTACGCGGGGCTGGGCAGGGTGATCGACGTGCCGCGGTTCAAGGGCGCGAAGAGGATCCCGTCGCTGATCGCATACCCCATCCAGCACTACCCCGGGCCTGGGGGCGTGGAGGGCTTGAAGCAGCGTCTGATTGAGCGCGGGAAGAAGTGGGCGTCGCTAGCGGGTGGCATGCATCACGTCGCGTATCGCGGACTTGCGTTCAGGTTCAAAGAGACTCACCACATCAAAGCCTCTGTAAGTCGCGCATACATCACTGGACTTGTTCTTTCTTTAGGCGCTGACATAATTACGATGATAGGTGAACTCGAGGATCATGATTGACCGGAGTCAGTTGCCTTCTTTGCGGTACCGAACGGTACCAGTATGTTCGAGTGGTGAGCCAGCTAACCGGCATGGGCTTATACAGAAACCTTTGCCGACACGGTGCCCAATTATCCGATGCTCCCCCGCGTGACCAAGAACCTCGCTGGCCAGGATATTGATAGGCATGCTCAGCGCGCGAATGCCATAATCGTCCCAGACACCAGTGCAGATCGGGAGCTAACGGAGGAGGAGCTCCTGCTCACGTCGCCAATCGTGTATGGGTTCAGTTTCGCAGACAAGCAGTGGTGTGAGTGTTTATTGCTCATTTTCTTGGCCTTGTTCCTGAAGCTATTCTGGGATGGGATCGTGTCTTCTTTCTGCAGTCGAGTTCATTGTCGAGCGAGTGGAGCACTTCACCTGGAACGACGAGGCTTTTGAGCAGCTGGTCATCCCAGCGAAGCACAAACAAGTCCTGAGGACGCTTGTCGAGTCGCATAATGCGGGCGCGTCGAAGAAGTTTGATGACTTCGTCACAGGCAAAGGACATGGTCTGGTCATCAACCTCTTCGGCAACCCGGGGACGGGCAAGAGCCTGACCGCCGAAGCGATGAGCGAATGTACGTTTCATGTCGTGTCTACTTTCTGCGACTACACGCTCATCTCAGCCGCGTGCTATCCTTGTAGACGTGCGAAGTAAGTCGCTGTGATTTGGAGCGCTGGCGCTGCCTTTACCTTTCCTGCTCACTAACCGGTATCGTGTTCTCATGTTTTTATAGAACCACTGTATGTCGTGGGCGCAGCGGACCTGGGTACCCACGCCGAAGCACTGGACAATAACCTCACCATCATCCTGAAGGTGTCGGCGATCTGGGGTGCTGTCGTGCTCATCGATGAAGCGGATGTCTTCCTCGAGGAACGTACCTTAGCTCATCTGGAGCGGAACGCCATGGTCGCGGTCTTCCTCCGGCAGCTGGAGTGAGCTTTTGTACTCTATATCTTGGTCTGGGACTCGTTACTAACCACCTCACGTCATCACCCTCCAATCTCGCCTCAAGATACTTCCGCGGCATCCTCTTCCTCACGACAAACAGAGTCCGCGTATTCGATGAGGCGTTCCAATCCCGTATACACGTTTCGCTCCGATACGCGGACCTCTCGTCGGATGCGAAACGCCAGATCTGGCTCGCGTTCCTCAAGCGCGTCAATGGCAACCTGCCCAACGGTGGGATCTCGCATGACGAGCTGCGCTCGCTCGGGGAGAAGAAGGTCAACGGGCGGCAGATCAAGAATATCGTCAAGACTGCGGGGGCGCTGGCACAAGGTCGACAAGAGAAGCTCGGTTTCGCGCATCTCGAGCAGGTGTTAGACTTGATGGAGCAGTTCGATACCGCGTATGTCTTCAATTTTGACCAATGAGCCTTCACTGATTGTATATTCTCAGGCATATCATGTATCAATAGAGTTTCCTCCTGACTGTGTATTCGAAGAGTTGCTGTACCCTACTAGTACCCCGGATTCAGGACGTGTATAGATTACAAGCCGTTCGCGCTTTCTCTCCGAATGTGTCGTAATTCTTCGACGTTCACCCATATTATAGAGCGCTCAGAAAGCCTTTGTTCCAGAAGATATGCTGGTGGAGATAAAGGGAGAATAAAGAGGTCTGTCCATCCAATGTGTCGGGGACGTAGCATGTCTCTCCTTGGTACGTACATCTCGCCGCGCGCCTTCCTACGACAGCCCTCTTGACAGTACTTACCAGTTGTAGTTCAGCCATACAAAAGAACCTGACTCTCTCCCTTACGTGCACCGTCCCGAACATGCCATCGTGTCAATCACACATCTTCTGATGCCTTGCGGATCGTACATCACGTGTGGGAACGACCCGATTAAAGGCGCCGCTCTGGCTCGAAGAGGCCCGCAACCGGCGCGAGATGCCTGCAATGCGCCTCCTTACCGCCATTGTTCCTATCACCGTTGCGCGACGTACAGCTCACATGGTCGTCGGTCTTCCTACAGGAGCCTCCGTACTTGATCGCCGAGCTGAGCGACGTTCTTGTCAGCTAATCAGCTGTCCTCCGGCTGAAATTGTGCGAGGTAGCGTGCAGGGCCGCCATCGAACGGTCACGCAGAGCGACACGAGGTGCGTCTGATCAACTTCGATGCCGAGAAGGACGGCGGCTCTACTGTATCTCGATGATGAGACCACTCGATATAAACCGGCCTCAAGGTGAGTGAAAGGCGGTCGACCTCGACGTGCACTTTGCCGTCATGCTGTCATTTGCTGTGAGCGTCGCTCTTGGCGCGCTGGGCTGTGCGCTCGTTTTATCCCCTGTCCTAGGTATCCAGACGTCAGTCGCGTTCAGCACCTCTGGAACAACGTTAGCGAGCGCGGTGCAGCCTGCTGCTTCGTCTTCGCTTTTCATTCCGGATGCCGCTAGTCGCGTCAATGTGTTCGTAGGGACGACGAATGGAGGACACGTCTTTCCAGGTCGGTTTCTCAGTTCGAACCCAAACGAGAATCACTGATGACTGACACTAGTATTGCAATAGGAGCTCTCATACCGCAAGGGATGGTCAAAGCTGGCATGGACACCGACTCCCCAGGCAATGTACGTGCTGCTGAATAGATGATGACAGCGATGGACGACGCTGACAGTGGATGGTCTTCAGCATGCCGGGTACGACGCTAATCCTATATTCAACGTGACGGGATTCTCCCAATTGCACGATGACGGTACAGGAGGAGTAAGTCTCGAAGCCGTATCCTATATAGAGCCGGAATTGATATTGCCTTGTAGGCTGTACCCTTATCCAACTTCAAGCTGTTTCCCTTAGCTTCTTGTGGTAAGGGCAACACCTTCGAGGAATGTCAGACTTCGATCGATGGACGCAAGGTCCTGAGGAATGTTCTTGATGATGGTGAGCTCGTTTCTGGGAAAAGTGACTGACCATTCTCATCGTTCCCCATAGGTTCCCCTGACGATGCCGGAGAGCCGGGTTACTTCGCGTCGAACTTGGTACCTATTCATGGATATGTCCTATGAACACGCTAATTGACACAGTGTTCATGGGTTAGTCCACGGGGATTCGCGTTGAGCTCACATCTACACGTCGGACAGCACTCCACCGGTAATGGATATCCCCACACTACTCTAAGGCTCTGCACTGAAAATTAGCGTAACCTTCAGTTACACTTTCCCCGCCAAGACCGAGTTCCCTCGTATTGTCGTGGACATCACGAACGATGGTCAACAGAGCAGCACCGACCCCACCATGGAGCTTGATGAGACAACAGGTCGCGTGAAGGGCGGGGCGCGTTTCGCCGCTTCCTTTGGTCCTGGCCGCTACCAAGCCTTTGCATGCGTAGACTTCAAGGGTGATGGCTATGATCTTGTAAGTTGCCTGTGATCTCCCTGGCTCCATATAGTATGATCTGAGTTACCAAGGGTGCACCCATTGAGTTTGGTGCCTGGCTCGGCAACTTCCCAGTAAAGAACACCTGGACCATAAACCAGCTGTATACCAGTAGGTCTCATATCCAATAACAATAGATTCTGGACTTCTCTCACTGAAGGAGCGCAGGCTTTGTCGACGAACTGGGTGCACTGTTCACCTTCAATCCAAAGCCGGAAGGCGTCACAACCATTCTCGCTCGCATTGGCGTCTCCCTAATTTCTGCAGACCAAGCGTGCGCAAACGCAGAGCAGGAGATTCCCGAAATCGACTTTGAGGGCACGCGTGCGGCCTCCCGCGCTCAGTGGAGTGAGCTTCTCGGACGTATCCAGATTGATCCAAAGGGCGTCGACCCGGAGATTGTGGACCTGTTCTACAGCTCACTGTACAGGACACACCTTTCTCCTGCGGACTGTAAGTGCTGTATCGCCCGAGCATTACACCGATCTTTGCTGATCAAAGAGAAAGACACTGATGAAAACCCTCTCTGGGACTCCCCTGAGCCGTATTACGACTCGTTCTACTGCAACGCGAGTCTTCCTATACCATTTTGCAAGACATGATGTTTGACGATATTGGCAGTGGGATACCTACCGAACTCTGTATCCGCTGATGGCACTGCACGACCCGGCCACATTTGCGAGAATCGTTCGTGGCATGATTAATATTCAGCAGCACGAAGGATGGCTGCCAGAATGCAGGGGTGCCACCGCGAAGCACTACATCCAGGGAGGCAGCAGTACGTTGTTCGGCGTCTTGTCCCGTGATCACCGCTCAATCTATTGTGCAGATGGAGACCCCATTTTGGCCGAATTCTACGTGAAGTATGTCTCGGTTAGATCTCGAGCGAGACTGGAGCTTGCTGATGTTAGTTAGGTTCCAAGAGCAGGCGGATGCTCTCAGTGTACCTGCAGACGCTCTGTATAATGCCCTAGTAGCAGACGCGGAGCAGGAGTCAGGAAATTGGGATCTTCAGGGAAGGCAGGCTAGCACTTGGAAAATACTTAATTACATCCCGCAAGATCTCTTCGAGAGGAATGGTTCCAACTCGAAGCAGGTGTCAAGGACGCTCGAGGTGCAATTACTGCATGGTTGAATGCCTCGCGATGTTCTGACTCGAGTATATGCAGTATTCTTTCGACGACTTCACCATCTCTCAGGTTGCAAAGGCCCTAGGCAAAACAGCTGATGGTAGTAAGGTATGAGTTGCCTCCTAAGTCACATCAAGAAACGAGAATGACTGACTACTTTTCAGTATGCCCAGCGCTCGGAGAATTATCAGAACGTGTGGAATGCCAACCTCACGTTCCCGGGGAGGAGTGATATCGTCGGCTTCATGCAGGTATGAGTCCGGTCATTTCAGCACTCCCTTCTACTCCTGACGCGCCGGTCGCAGCCTCGCTTCGTTAATGGCACGTTCAACTTCACAGACCCTCGTCATTGCAGCATCCACGACCCGCTGCAAGCTACTTGCTTTCTGAACGCTCAAAACCACGATGGTTTTTATGAAGGATCGCCGATCACAGTGGGTTTCCGAGTTGAGATGGATGTACATTGCTCTAACGCCGTGGGTGTCTATAGTACTCGCAATACGTTCCCCACGACACTGCAAAGCTGATCGAGTTGCAAGGCGGGAACCAGAAGTTCATCGACAGACTGAACTTCATATTTGAGGAGGTAGATGTATCGAGTGTCGTCAATCTCGAGCTATTGTCTGATAATCTTTGCACACAGGGATATTTCGACTCAACGGATGAGCCCTCCCAACAGATCCCTTTCATGTACCACTACGCGAACAGGCCTGGGCTGAGTACCCAGAGGTCGCGGCAAGTCATCGCTCAGTTCTTCAACACCTCCACGAATGGTCTCCCAGGAAACGATGGTGAGTGTAGCAAGTCTTCTTGCATTCGACTGTCAAGAAGTCTTGATGGTGATCCACTCGTACAGATTCTGGGGCAATGGGTAGCTATGTCGCTTTCTACCTCGCCGGCCTGTACCCTCTCCCTGCTACACGCCAGTTCCTCCTCTCCTCTCCTTACTTCCCCGAGATCTCCTTTCGAAACCCGGTACTGAACACGACTACGACAATCCGCTCGATTAACTTCAAGGGCAACCCCAATGATGGAACTGGGGGTCAGGTTTTTGTGAAGAGCGTCAAGATCGATGGGAAGCCGTGGCACTCGAACTGCTTCATTGAGTGGGACACGTTCACTAACGGCTCCCTCATCGAGCTGCAGTTGACGAACGAGATCAACGTTTCCTGCGGAAACGACAAGAGCGCTCTCCCCCCTTCCCTTTCTACTGGTGGCTACAACTAGACGTCATTGGGGTCGATGCTCGTGTGTATATATACAGAATGTACTTCTCCGATGGGGTCGATGAGGCGTATCCAAAACGAATGAAGAGTGACTCGCATAGTACGGGAGAGATGCGTAACAATGCTACGAAACTACTGTACAGTGCATGCAATACGAGAGCAGTGCAAACCTCCGGGGTATGGAACAGCCATTATCACAACTAGTAACACAGCAGCTGCAGCAACCATAATAAAGAGACGAAAGAAACGGAAAGTTGAGCGATTACTTGCCATATTATACACTCAACCTTGGCCATGGTCCCGATCCTTCCTATTGTCATATCCAGATCCTTCTTTGCAAACTTCTAAGCACCAGCAGCCGCACTAGAATCTCCTTCCGCTCCTCCTCGCGCTCGGCCCAACGCTGACCGTGCTGCTGACCGTGTTCACCATGCTACCCATGCCCATTGGCAACCTCCCCACGCTTTGCCCGTGTACGACGCCAGCGTGCACCTGCGCGCGCTCCTTGCCGCCTTTTTTCTTTTCGTTAGCCTGCCCGCCGTACAGCGCGTTGTGCCGGAACGTCGTGTACCCCGAAGGCGCCATCCGCATCCCCGGTAGCGGAACCGGGTGAGGCCCCGCGACCTGTCCGTGACCGAGCTCATTTTCGTAGACGTCCTCGTTGTTTCCGACCTCCTCGATATCGTCCACGTCCGGCTCGACATAGTCCACTCCAGCGCTAGGATCCTCGTCCGGAATCTGGGTCGACAGGGGCGACATGACGTGATTGCGCACATTGACGTTCGACGCGCTCCTGAAGCTCGCGATCGACGGCCTCGACAGCCGAGCATGCGGAGGCGGGGGCGACGCCGACCCGGACCGCCTCACCTCCACCGAGTCTTGCGCAAGGTTGACATCCGAGCTCGATGCAGAGGAGAACGCTGCCTGCATCGACGACCGGTTAAGCTGATTGAGGCTGATGCTGTTTAGATTCGTCCGCATCGTAACCGTCCTCCTGAGCGACGAGTCCACAGACGAGTAGGTCGAGAGCGTCCTACCCGCGCTCCCCGAGCGTCCGTGCCCACGCCCTCTCATCTCCCCAGACGTCGTGCGCCGCGCAGTATACGCACTGAGAGGCGCTTGCGGGTCCGAACTATGTTGGGAATGGGACGACCCCTCCGCAGACCCTTCGGCATCGCTCCCCCTCTGGTTCTGACCGGGCCAGCTCCAAGTCCCCAGCTCCGAGTAGTCCGCATTCTCACGATCGGGACTGGCCACATTCGTCGAAGACTCGCCTCCGCCATACTGGCTTGTCCACCCCTCGACCCAGGGCGCTGCGGACGTCGATGCCGAGACGGGGACGGATGCACTGGCTGCGAGGGCCTCGCGCCTTGCCTGCGCGCGGCGCGCGAGTGATTCCCGGCGGTACTGCGCCACGACGGCGTCGACCCATCCGTCCCACTCCGCCTCACTCGAGTCTGATTCCGACACTGGGGGCTCCGCTTCGTGCAGGGAGGTGAGGTCGACGAGGGGGTGGGACGCACGGTGTGGGCGTGTTGTCGGCGCTGGGTCAGGTGCACTTGCAGGGCTAGCTGGGGACTCTATCTCCAGCTGTGGTCCCACATGATCACTCGGTGGGTCCGCATCAGACTGCAAAGCTCTTCCCTCTGGTAGAGTCGCGTCCGAAGGAACGGACGGGTTGCTTCCGTGCCTCCCCGTCATCCCTCCAGGCTGCACGTCCGTGTCCACAGGCGATGGCTGCTCAACCACTGAGGATATCTCGAGACTGCTCGTCGTGCCCCTCCGCGCCCATGCAATAGCCAAGTCATCTTCTTCTTCCGCAGCCTCATCGTCAGCATAGTCGTCATCGTCCTCGTCATCCTCGCCGAACATCACGAGTTCCATCGCGCGTCCGACTGCACCCAAGCCCGCGCGGCGAGCGTCGCGCACGAGCTCGAGCCGCCAAAACGGGTAGGGAACGCCTTCGGAGTAGCCGATCGTGAGGTCGGGGAGGGTGTAGCCAGGGAGGGGAACAATAGGCGTATCAGGGCGCGAGTCTGAGGAAGACCCTTGGCCGAAGTGGTAGGACTTGTAAGGGAAGTAAGGAGCAGATGTGTCCAACGCGGTTGGGGAGAGAAGTGGGGCTTGGGATAGACGTTGAGAATGTAATTGAGAAGAAGATGGAGGGAAATTGAAGGAGGTGGGTCCTGGTGTGGTTGGAGACCCTGGCGTCGACGGGCGGGAATTGAAGATAATTGGCGAGGGCGAGGGCGAGTAGATCGACGCGCCACGTCCAGGAAGGAAAGTGGAATTGCATTGTGGAGGCGCGTGCCGATGTAGAATGCGAAGGATATGCGAGCATGCTGCCAATGTTCGATTCCGCGTCAGGTCCAGTTATCCACATTACCAAACGCATACACGCGTGGGATAGAGTAGGATGAGAGCAAGAACAATGCACTCACCCGAACTGCCCAGCATGTCTAACACAATCCACACTGCGTCCTCCGCCTCATCCCTCTCCTTAGCTTTCCCCTTCTCCCGTGATGAGCCCGGCTCTCCCTCTGATTCATCTATCCCCGCCCGGCTCCCTCTGCGCGCAAGGGAGTCCCACACTTCCGAGATGCCGTTACTCGAGCTCCCCACAAATGCGCTCCCAACTAACGCGCTTGCGCTCGACGTCAAGCCGAGACTCAGCGTTGTGGAGACATCTCTTGACCCTCTCCGCCACCAGCTTCCTTGGCCACCCCCCGATCCTGGTCCCGCAGAGGCAGATATTGAAGTGGACGTGAACGACGGGCCGGACGGAGGTTGATCAAAGGTGACTGAGGACTCGTTCGAGAACGTGCGCTGCCGTGGGGTCCGGCCTGTGCCGAATTTAACGCAGACGATGTTCGAGCTAGCCGGAGATATGGAGGATTTGTAACGTCCAGGAATGCGCGAGGTATGGAGGGGAATCTTGAAATGTGCGCTGTCGCGAATAGAGAGCATAGAGGATAGCGGCGAGGAGAATGCCGCGTGCGTGTCCTGTAGGCGCGGTCAGCCATCTGCGACTGACTCCCGCGGAGGCGCATGCGCATATATCCAGCGGAACGGGAGCAACCGGCAGCGGAGGACGAGATGTGGGTATATGCGCTTGTTGGACCGCATATAGCAAAATGAACACTCACATGTCGTTCCTTGCACAGCGAAAACACGCCTTGGTGTATGATTGCCCACCGCTCCTTCCACTCTACCGCGACCTTCTTCTTCTCCCGCTTCTGGCTCAGGTTCGGCGTCCTCACATCCAGGCTCTCGTCCTCCTTCTCGTCGGACCCGTGCCCCACGATCCGGAGCGCCCAAACGCGCGTGGCAAAGTAGGGCGCGATGTATGCGTCTAGCGTACTTCGCGGGAGAGCAACAAACGAAACACCGGCAGGGTGCAACTCGAGGAGCTCCCCGGGGTGAATCCCATACCAAGAAAGAGAGAAGCGGTCTTCGAGGATCTGGGTGGTAGAGAAAGTGAGAAGAATGTATGCGTTCACGTCGTAGCTCGCACTCGAGCTCGTGAGCGCATCCAGGAGGGGAAGACGGGCGGTGGATAAAGAATCGGAGGTTGAGGATGTAGAGGGGCGGGCGTTGTATTTGTAACGATGCGCGTCCGTGAAGGACTTGGTGATGTTCACATCGTCATCGTCGTCTAGGTCCAGGTCCAGGTCCAGGTCCCCCGAGTGCTCGGTGTCACTTGACTCGCCTGAGCTGGGGGCGGAGGCGTATAGAGGTTGAGCTTTGCGAAGAGTGGGTGTAGCGAAGGTGATAGGGGACAATGAGCGACGGCGTGCCTTGCGTGGGGAGACGGAGATAGCGCGAGGGTTGTGGTCGGGGTCGGAGGCGCTCCTGGAGAACTTGTGGAGGAGGAAGAGCTTGAGAGAGGCGATGGTCCAGGAGGGGTCGACGTGAGTGACAAGCCATTGGTCTGTACAGACTGAGGAGCGCAATGTCGTGGATGAACGTCGCGGGGAATTGAATTAAGCAATCGACCATTAATGAGCGTCAATGTCATTTTAAGTCCAAGATTGCTGAGCCTGGGAGGACATACCATGTCTGCACGCAATACGGAGGGACTTTGCGTCGGCCACCATGGCGGCGGCGATGGTCGAGGAGGAGAGCAGGCAATGAGGCAGAAAGGGTGGCGGGCAGACTGGCCGTCGCTACTACTCGTCCTCACGGCGCTCACGGCCCTGATCCCCCTGCCGGCGGCATCCTCTCCCCGCCCCGCCACATGCACCGCCACCCGGACCCGCCACCTCACAGCGGGTTGTATGTATATCCCTCCGTTCCCCAACACTCATCGTCCATGCAATGCCTTCACAGGTCTCCCCTGGGCATACCAGTACCTTCTGAGTCAGGACGACGCTCCTCAGCCTCGTTTTCGTAATGCGTCAAGATGACAACACTAACATCACACATCGGAGCTTCCAGCGTGTCTCGATCTACCATCTGCCGCACCCGAAACACCGCGAGCCCGATTACAGCCCAAGTGCGCAGGTCTCCACCCCCATTGGCCATCTACAGAACTTATAGAAGCTCAACTAAGGACAGTAGGTTTGCGCCCGTGTAGAATTCCTGATCCCAGCGTTCTCCGTTCACACCGTAGTGCCACATCCGGCGGCGACGGCCACTCTGCCCGCTCGTTCGACGGGCTGAAAGTCACTATCTGCGGCTGCGCATATGCACGCAATGGTGGTCCATGTACTACCTATGTAGACTCTGGCGGGAGAGTAGGGGTCAGGAGCGCAAATCTCACAGTGCTACCTCCTCGAGTCAGCCACACCAACCCGACACTCCTCGCATCGGAATGGCTCCTCAACATCGATTTGCAACCATCTGTTTGTGACGTTCCTTGATTCGCGTGTGCAAATGATCTGCAGCCTGAGGTGCCTCAGCAACACTCTGATGCGAACGGTGCGGCCACGTGACCCATCTTTCTCGAGCGATGATGCTTATAAACGACAGCGTATCGCGGTGAATGCCCTGTTCGATTGTCGCTCACGGATAAACGCTAGGTATACCCGTGCTGCAACGCTTCTTGAGCACCGCTCGAGGTGCTATGGTCCATCTGTCAACGAGCACGCTGGGGTTCTTCCGAGTTCCTCACGTCAGCTGCTGGTTCGGTCACTAGCGTTAGCCGCGAGAGTATCAGGACAAGTCGACGGATGTTTTTCGGTTGTGTCCGGCAACCGTTTCGAATGGGTTCATTGTGGTATGTGCGACCCACAAGCTGAACGTATGTGATTGTGATACCATGTGCCATGTGCAGGCTAGGGGAGACTCTCTACGTTTTGCCCCTTGGGCAACGTTTCATCCATGCCTCTGGATTTTAAAGTTCCAGGTGTGCGTTCACATCCACTCAGTGGCAAGGTTTTTGGATTTACAGCACTATTTAACACTTCCTTGGAATTTAGCAAGGGAGCAGACGATGCGATCTACGAAAGTCGATGTACACGGAGAGGTTATAACGTCCCGAGGGACAGATTCCATACTCAATGACCTGCTGGTTCCTCTCAGAAAACATGTTGATATCCACTTCGGACTCGAGTGTGATGCTTACAACCTTCGATTCTGAATAGCTTACGCCTCCGCTGAGTAATCGTATGTAATGCAAGGTAGGGCATACAACAGCTTCCCCTCTGTATAGTGTTCACGAATAGTTGGTGTTCCTCCCCTTCATCCGGCTTATGAAGCAGCTCACAGACGACAACGATCTTCTGAGCTGCTGTGGCGTTCTGATTCGCTTTGTGCGAGACTTGTCATGTGCTGTCCTGAAAACATAGAGTGATTGAATATAATGGCAGTGTCCTTTGCTTCGTTGATATGTGAAACACCGTGGTCAATTGGGGAGCGGTTCATTGCAACTATCACAATGATAGTAGTCGGATAGATGGCCTAGTACAGGAGATATATGATGAGCCTTCTCTATGACTTGGAAGGCTATGATGCTAGGAACACTAACGGTTATAGGGAAAAGGCATCCATCGGTCAAGTACCACCCGGTCTGGGCGAAAGCACTTGCATTGCTTGTCACTTCAAGCGGCCTGCTGAGCTGGTATACTACGAGAAATATCTGTGGCAAGTCGTGAGCCTACGGCAGGTCCTGAAAAGTCAACTACTAGAACAGTGCTTACGAGTAGAGCACAATAGATCGTACCGGATTCGACAAGTAGAGCAAGTGCTTTGAGAGTGCGTGTCTTGGTGCCATCTGAACCAACATGTTTCTGCAAGAGGCGTCTATGCCCCCTAGGTACATTTGGGTTAGTAGGGTCACATGCTGTTTAAGAGCACGATCAAAACGTTCACCATGCTTTATAAGCGATCAACGATGTTGCCAGTATGTTCACACTCATAGTGAGGACTACAAATGCGTCCGCAAAACCATCTACGCCAATCAGGATCTGGAGATGAAGTGAGGGTCCGGTCTCTGATTTGTGAACTTCTAACACGCCGATTACTGTGAACCCAATATGAGAGATGAATACTAAATTTAGATCACGACAACCAACCTAGCGTTAAAGTCAGGAGCAAAGGCCCAACTATATAAACAATTCTGTTGCGCCAAACAACGCACGCGCGCCACCACACTACTCCATCTCCTATGAGGATCTATGTCCAGGCAATGTCAGGAGGTCCTCATGTCATAATAATGCAGTAGATCCTGACATTTAGTCCACCCGTTGCGGTCATCATCCACGATTGTACTTTGACGTTCCTTTCCAGCGAAGCAATACTATGACTCCGGTCGTATGTGGCCGAGACTACGCCATTGGTGACCTCCGAAATGAGATGGCCGACGCCCAACCGGCTCCATACAAGTGTGCACATGTAGACGGTGGTAGAGGTATAAAGAATCAGAGTGCTGAGCAATAGCAGCGAGACTGAGTATCGGGAAGATAGTCCCTGACGACTGGTTTGAATGCTCCATCAGTGTTTCCCGTCAAGATTTTTCTTGAGATGAAGAGCTCCGCACGCAAGAAATATTATCGCCGCAACGACCAGCGCAGTCAGGAAACCTAGTGTCCTGTCAATGGAGATTGAGGAAGACGATGCAAGCTGCGCACCATGTGTTACACTCGCCACAAATAGCTGAATATCTGACTGTGTTCCGCTACCGGCAAAGTATACAGCGACTGTAAAGGCGAACTCGTTGATGGAAGGTGTACTAATGACCGGCATAGCCGAGTCGCCGCCAGACATTGTAGCTACAGGAATGCTGCACACCGCCTACGTGCGAAGAGGAGTGAAGAGCTTCCGTGCGACAAAGTACTAGATATGACATGACAGGAATAGTGCCGAAGCAGCCGTTGATCATGTTTGAGCTCATTATCTGTCCGCGTCTGGCACCTGGTACCTGACAGAAGCCTCGATCCCAGCGAAGAGGAAGCCAAAGATAGCGCCGACCTACATCAGCAAATGTGCGAAACCGTGCCAGCGGCAATGCCACGCGTGCCGAGAATTGTAACGCCAAAATTGGCAAGCAGGGAATTGGAATACATAAGCTTGCCGTTGTCAACCTTGGCGGGGCGAGGCGATTTATAAGGCCGTCAAGGACTCTGATAGCAGTGACATTGCATACAAGAGGCTTACCATATATATATCATCTAATAGCCATTCTTTGACATGCGTACTGAAATGTAACCAGATGTACACAGGCCCAGGAGAGACCGTCCCGGGAGGCCTCTACATTCGCTGTCGCTCAAATTGCCGCGCGTTCAGTGCAAGCACAGCGTCGATCGGCTCCTTCGCCCGCGGTGACACTCCACTACCTTGCCTGTTACCACTACCACCATCTCTCATCGTGTTCCGCTCTATCCGAGCGTGCTTCGACCGGTCTCTCTCCTGCCAGATCGTTCTCCTCCTTCAGCCCCCCAAGTCCACGACTACTCGCATGTCCAGCGCACGATCAGTGTCTGACGCTACTGCGTCACCATCCAAGTCATCCATGCCTCCATCGAATGCGATTGCGAACCCCCTTACCGAAGGTGGGTAGGAGGACGTTGTTGGGACAATCAAAGAAGCAAGTGTCGTCTCCTCGAGCAGCATATCAACGGTACGCGGTTGTCCTGGCCGGAAGAGCATTGGGTTAGGGTTAAGGCGGCAGATCGTGGCCCAGCTGCAAGACATTGGCAGGCGTGATGTCATAGCTCACGACCTGTCATGGTCTTTGTCTTTTCGTCAAAAGCCTGGGCGAGCACACAGATAAGTCGTCACCCCTTTCCTTGCATCTCCCACCATCAAGCTCATCACCTGCTCAAAGAAACCCCACCATCGCGGACCTGACTGGTCTGGTTGCTACAGCGGCAAGCAGACTATCTTCATACTCTAGCTGCATTTGACTTCATTGTAGCGGTGGTTTGTACCATATACCACCAATAACTTGTGCTAACGGGAAGGTATAGTCCATCTGTTTGTGCGCATACAGTAGACCCTAGCCTCACATCGGTGCTCGGCATCAGGTCCGCGGATTTATACCTCAAACACCTTACAACGGGCCTGGCGGAGGCGCATGCGGACGTCGTGGATGCGGGAGCAGGTGCATCGAGTTGCGGAGATGAGCCTGCCAAATTGGTATGTGGATGCGCTCGCTGCGGAAGGTGTGTCATCATTGCCTTGCCCTGCAGGTCTGTGCAGCTCGCGCATTGGACGCGGTCACGAATAGCAGCTGACAACAGCGGGGTTCGCTCGGTTTGGCCTCAATGGACAGTGCTGTGCCACCTCACGTGCGCGTAGCTCACCCAGGACGCCTATGGGGTCATCCAGTGAGACACTCCGAATATCGTCGAGACCTGGCCCTGCCTTATACTACTCCCGCTCCGTGCCGCTCCTAACCCCTCTGACACCTGCGAGCATAGTTATCGAGATGGCGAAGAAGGCGGAGGCCCAGTGAAAACCCCGCCTATTGCCAACGATTGCTGCCTATTGTCATCTAATGCCGTCTTTTCTGAGCGATTTGGATGACAGCTCGGCGTCTAAAGCGGCTCGATTCATATATCGATTGGCTCGTTTTATATATACAATGGACCATTTGACGTCGATCGAAAGTATCAAACGGGTCTTCGACGTATATACTACTGTTGCATCCATGTCCACTATATATACTGCCTGTGTGCCAACCTACGGTTTTCCGACCATATCCATTCTTACGTCGTCTTCGATCTCGTCCCTGGCTCCTTTGTCCATGACGCCATCGGTGTCCGCGACACTCTTATAAAGGTGGGCGATGGCCGGCCTCCCGTCTCTGCGCCCTTTCTTCCCTCCTCTCACCATCCCTTCCTGTCCTTGGGTACACTCACAGTGAGGCTAACAGGTAGGGCATCGCTGTCTCAGTCTGTACATGTCACACACAGGTGAGTGGGCTAGTCGCTGTCGTACAGCATACAGGTAAGTCGCACACGAGGTTATTGCACAGGGAGCAAAGAGCGCGTGAGGCAATGCAGCAGTACTTAGTGATAGGTCACTGAATGTCGTCGCACGGGTGCGGGGAGTAGCGTACTATTATGTAATCCGAGAATTGTACTGTAGAGTAGCCACCTATAAATATCCTCGTCCATGCTCGATCTAGAACCGGATGAAGCATATGAACTT